CAAGACGGGCCAAGAGACCTCCAAGATGGCCCAAGAGGGAACCAAGACGCCCAAATATCGCCCCATGACGCCCGAAATGGCCCCAAGACAGCCCTAGAGGCCTCAAAGACGCCCCCAGAGACCTCCACTCTGGAGAACCCCAAGAAACCAACATCATTGATTTGATTGTCACAAGGTGTTCTACAAATGTTGGCGTTCTCGACTTCTCGGCTTCCCCACGCTCCCAGACGGCCCTCGAGGCCTCCGAGACCGCCCCAAGACGAACCAAGGACCGCCAAGAGAACTCCAAAACTGCGCAAGAACAACCCGAGACGGCCCAAGAGGCGCCGAAGACGGCCCAAGAGAGCGCCAAGACGACCCCAAAAGAAGCCCCAGAGAGAGAACAACGCCCCCCAACAAGCCTCCAAGCTGCCTCCAAGACAGCCCCCGAGACACCCCACGAGATCCCAACAAACATTCCGTAGGCTTCATACCCACAGCCCAGGCACTCCAGGCATACAGCCGACTTGCCTCAAGTGGTACTTGCTCGATCCAGTTGGGGCATATAACCTATGTGTCCGCCGCCCCCTGCTGATTCATCACAGGGGTGCCTGGCGTGCTAGACCCTTTCGCTTTTGGCTTTGGTTTTTTTCCAGAAAAAAACTCCGACTGGGGCTTCGGCCCGTCCCGCCAGCCACCCGAAAGGCCTGGAAACGACCTCAACGTCCCCATCAAATCCTCCAAGACGGCTCAAGATGGCCTCTAAGACGGTCACGTTGGCCCAAGATGGCCTCCAAGGTGGCATCCAAGCCCGCCCAAGATGGTTCAAGATGCCCCCAAGACGGCCCAAGAGAGTCCAAGGTGCCTTCAAGTTCGTCCAAGAAGCCTCCAAAACGGCCCAAGATGGTTCCATGATGGCCTAAGACTGCCCAGGAAGGCCCCAAGAGGCCTCCAAGAGCTCCACCAGGAAGGCCCGAAGAGGCTAAAATCTTAATTTGTCCTTCGGTGTTTGAAGGATTTTGACATTTTCTTCGTTTCAGCTCTCCGACAGCCCAAGACGGCCCAAGAGGCCCCCAACATCACCCCAAGAGCGCCCAAGAGGCCTCCGAGATGGCCCCATGACATGCCAAGAGGCCCAAGAGGGCCCCAACAAGACGCCAAGACGGCTCAAGAGGCCCCCAAGCCGCCCAAGATGGCATCCAACACGGCCAAGATAGCCTCCAAGATGCGTCCAAGACGGCCAAGGAAGCCTCCAAGATGACGAAGATGGCCCCAAGATGCACCCAAGACGGCCCCAGGTGGCCTGAAGATGGCCTTAGACTGCCCAGAAGGCCCGCCAGAGGCCTTCGAGACGGCCCAAGACCCCTCCAAGACGTCCTCCAGGAGGCCCGAAAGCTCGGAAACCACCTGGTCCGATAGCTCGCCCGACTCCCCGAAGGCTTTCGAAACCCACTCGGGAAACGCGTGGCCCGATAGCTTGGCCAAGCTCAAATCCAACTTCCGGCCACGCAGGCGCTTCCAAAAAAACAAGGGGCGGCGGCGATTCGCCGTAGGCCGTAGGCGTCTTCGATCCGCCGCCCCCTGTGGTCTGGCCACAGGGGTGCCCGGCGTGCAAATACCTACCGGTTTTGGATTTGGTTATTTTTCCAAAAGAGCTCTCCCCTGGGGCTCTGGCCCAGCGCGGAGGCCACCCGAAAGGCGAGCAATGGCGCACAACGTCCCCCAAAAATCGTCCAAGACGACCCAAGATGGCCTCCAAGATGGTCAATCCAAGACGGCCCAAGATGGCCTCCAAGACGGCTAATATGGTCCCAAGGTGCCTCCAAGACGGCCCAAGATGCCTCCAAGAGGTCCTCCAGGAAAGCCCGACGAAGCCAAAATCATTGACTTTCGTTAGGTTTGTGACGGATTTTGGCGTTTGCGCCTTTTCGGCCTTCAGACGGCCCAAGACGGCCCGAGATGGCCCCCAAGGTCGCCCCAAGATCGCCCAAGAGGCCTCCAATATGGCCGCATGACGGCCCACGAGGCCTCCAAGAAGGCCCCCAAAGGGCCCCAAAACGGCCCAATATGCATCCAAGACGCCCAAGATGGTCTCCAACACGGCCCTGAAGCGCCCGAAGAGGGCCCCAAGTCGGTTCAGCAAGGCTCCCAAGACGGCTTCATACGGCGCCAGACGGGTCAGGAACGCCCTAAGACGGCCAAAGAGGCCCCAAGAAGCCCCCAAAGCACCCCAAGGCCCAAGGAGGCTCCCAGGAGGCCTCCAAAAGTCTCCTGGGAAGCTCCGCAGAGGCCTCCCAAAAGGCCTCCCAAGAGGTTCCGAAGAAGTCTCCTCCTCCTCCTACTCCTCTTATTCCTCCTCCTCCTCCTCCTCCTCCTCCTCCTGATCTACTCCGCCATCCTCCCCCAAATGTTGCCCGAAAGGTTTCCACCACGGCTGGAGGAACTCATGGTCGGATAGCTTTGCAGAGCTTTTGCCACAACGCTCGGCCACATGGGCGATTCCAACAGGCAGGGGGCGGCGGTCATTCACCGTAGGCGTCTTCGATAACGCCAACGTCTCAATCTGCGCTGATGATTCCTATCCGCCACAGCATGGTGTTCCCAGATGCACCAAGGCATCGCCGAGACGCGACTTGGCTCTGATAGGGGCCGGCGGCAGGGGGCGAACACCTTACGGACATATACATGTATAGATCTATACCTACATGCATACATACACACATACAAGCAGACATTCATACTTACATACATGCATGATACATGCATGCATACATACATACAACCATCCAAACATGCATTGCGTATAAACATACATGCACACATACATACCGACTGACAGACATACAGACAGGCATACAGACGTACGTGCGTTCGTGCACATACATATACATGTACATGTACATGTACATGTACATATACATATACATATACATATACATATACATATACATATACATACACATACATACATGCATACATACATGCATGCATGCATGCATGCATGCATGCATGTATAGACACATCCATGCACCCATGCATACATGTATACGTACATTCAATCATGCATGCACACACTCATACATACAAACATACATGCCTGCATGCATGAGTTACCTGACACACATACATACATACATGCATGCATGCATACATGCATGCATGCATGCATACATACATACATACAGACAGACATGCATGCATGCATGCCTTCATTCATTACCTTACATACATACAAACATTCATGCATGCATACATACATACACACATACGAGAGAGCGTGATCCACCGCCGCTTTACTGTGGAAAATTGCCAACCTTTCCTCCGGAACCTGGGGGTCCCCCCCCCCCTCCGAAAATCCCCCCCCCCTGCTGGAACCCCTCCCCCCCCCCCTCCCTCCCGGCAAAACCCCCTCTCCCCTAACCCCTCCCCCCCCCCTCCCCCTCGAAAACCGGGGGGGGTCACTACTATCACTACCGGTTCGAACCCTCCCCCCCCCCCCCTCCGGATCCGGAAAACCGGGGGGGGTCACTACCGGTTGGGCCCCCCCCCCCGAAAACCGGAGGGGGGTCACTACCGGTTCGACCCCCCCCCCCCCCACGCACCGCCAGCAAACGACTCCCGGTCCCTACCACCGCTCGCATCACATCCCCCACTGTTGTTCCCAGCACCACTGTCCTCACCACCACTGTCCCCACTGGTTCCACCACCGTCCCTATTGTCCCCACCAATGCCCCCACCACTGTCGCACTGTCCCCACTGTTCCCACAACTGTTCCCACCACGGTTCCACTCTCCCCACTGTCTCCACGGACCCAACCACTGCCTATCCCCACTGTCCCCACTGTCCCACTGACTCCTCCGCTGTCCCACTGAGCTGTCCCACTGTTCCCACCACTGTCCCCACTGTCCCCACCACTGTCCCCACTGTACCTCTGTCCCATTGTCCCACCGCCGTCCTCGCCACCGCCTTTACCAGTGTCCCCACCACCATTGTACCCTCCACTGTCCCAGTGTTTCCACCTCATTCCCACTGTCCCCACACCACTGTCCCCACCACCACCGTTCCCACCACTGTCCACTGTCCCCCCTGTTCCCACCATTGTCCCCACCACTGTCCCCACCACTACCGTCCCCACCACTGTCCCACTGTCCCACTGTCCCCACCACTGTCCCGCTGTCCCCTCACCACTGTCCCCACCAACACCGTCCCCACCACTGTCCGCACCCCCACTCGGTTTTCGAGGGGGGGGGGGGGTTCGAACCGGTAGTGACCCCCCCCCTTTTCATGATGAGCTGGGGGGGGGGGGGGTCGAACCGGTAGTGACCCCCCCCGGTTTTCCGGAGGGGGGGGGGGGAGGGGTTCGACCCGGTAGTGACCCCCCCTCGGATTTCCGCCAGCAGCGGTAGAACACGCTCTTTCACACATACATACATATATGCACGCACGCATACATGCATACATACATTCATCTAAGAGCACACGCGTATTCGACATGTATATGTGTAATGTAGAACTGCGAGCCCGTTGAAAACCTCGGGCTGCAGGCGCTGGAGGCGCACACTCCAACCCTCGAAGAAACGCCGAGAGAGCTCTGCTGCGGCACCAGTGGTGCTGCTCGGTGAGATGTGTGAATCCCTGTTGCTAAACAACCATCCAGGATCACCAACAAGAAAATCATGAGGCCGGTGCGATGAAGAATCGACCAGCTTCACAAAACTGCCCCGCCCGCCGCCGAACAGCGAAGTCGGTCTGCACAGGTGGCGGCAAAAGCAACGCGCGCGCCTCTTGACGGCAAAAGGAGCCAGGCGAGAAGAAAATTAGAACACTTTGATCATATTCGAATCCGTCGCCCTGTGGCGGATCGACGCATGTGTTCACGCCACACCCCGCGGCGCCTGCAGCCATTTAGGGAGCACCACGCTGTCATCCTGGACTGGGACGCGCAGTGCATCGAGCTGTGCGGCTGTGAGCCGCTCGGCGTGTGGGATCAGCTGACCCCCTCCGTTCCTCCGCCTCTTCTTCCTCCCCCTGTACCGGCTAGAGTGAGCAAGGGCCCCTGATTCCTGGGACCGATACTTTCCCCCGCCGAGGACTGTACGTTCGAAACAAAAAACGTGCGGGCTTGGGCCCGAAGTGTGGGCGGGCTGATGCCGCGAGGTGGTCAGACACGTCGGTGCCTGCACCTCATACCTAATGCCCGCCGCGCTCACGCGCCGCCAAACAATTCTGAGACGGAAGTGGACTTGGTGGCATTTCTGCCATGGAGATGGCTCGAGAGCACGCGGTGCCAGGGTGAGCTATCAGGGTGTCTACACTGGCTGCAGTTGGGCAGCGGAGCACCGATCTTGCTACTACAGCCGTAGTACCCAGGAAAGCATCCATCGCACCCCCTATTCCACAACGCTCCCCTCCTCCCGCCCAGTCAGCTCCGTTATGCTGTGGGATGCTCATAGTGCGAAGCGGCGCGGCTCTCCGCGGTCGCAGTCGCTGCACCCCTCACCCGCGTGCCCGAGAAGATGCCGGTGAAGAATGGCGGAGAGCTGGTTCCAGACCTCTGGCCGCTGGCGCTGCAGGCGCATGCTCCACCCCTCGAGGCGGCGCAGGAAGACCTCCACCTCGGCGCTCGAGCCCTCCTGGCCGATGCCGACCGCCACACGCTGTAGCAACATGTCAAGCGCGCGCCTGTGGCCCTCCGGGTCGCCCCCCTCCTGCCCCCGGAGCCCCTTGCCCGTCGCAGTGGCGAGCCTCTCCACCGTCTGGCCGTACGCCTCGAGGAGCGCCTGCAGCTCGGGGCCGCGGACCTGGGGCTCGGTGAAGAGCTCGGGCAGCATGTGCTCGATCAGCGGGCTGGTCTGGTCTGGCGCCGAGAGGAAGCCCAGCCAGACGATCCTGGGGAGGGCCACGAAGAAGTCCGCGTCGCAGTCTGCGGCCAGGGCCGCCAGCTCGGGCGCAGTGGCGCACGCCGCGCGCGCGAAGGCGGCGGCGCAGCTCAGGCCGCGCAGGAGCCTCGGGTCGGCGAGGTAGCGCGCCGTGGCGGACATGCTCTCTTGGAAACGATCGAGGTTGGCGACGAGGCCGGGGTTGTTCGCGAGCTCGCCGTCCACGGACTCCAAGTTGTGCCAGGCGATGCGCAGGTAGCCCCGGACAGCCTCGAATGCGTCTGTCGCCCAGGTCGCGAGGGCGTGTGCGGGAGTGGGTTTCTGGCGGTGATCCTGCAGCCTGGCGGACTCCAGGATGGACTTGCTTTCCATGAGGGCTCGCGTGACGAGGCCCAGATCGGCATCGCGCATCCGTCTCTCGTCGCAGACTGTGGCGCTGAGCAAGTTGATCGCCCTCACCAGCTCCCCGAGTTGTTTCTTCCAAGCCGCGGTGCCGCCGCGGCGGCCGCGGCGCTGGGACGCATTGGACAGGACCCGCTCGCAGACGCACGCCTCCGCCACCAGCACTCGCGCCTCTTCTTCGATGGCCATCGCCTGCATCACGTACGCGCACTCGAACTTCGCCCAGGCGGCATCGAGCTCTGTCAAGGCGCACCGCATCTCCGCTTTCAACTCCATGCTCCATGGCCGCGCGGCGAGCTGCTCCACGATCAGGCGCTTCAACAGCCGCCCGAGCTCCGCCCACGCGTGACGCATGAGGCCCGCGGGTTTCACGGCCGTCGGGCCGAGCTCGGACCAGAACCCGTTCATCCAAATCATCTGCTGGTTGATCGCCTCAAGGACATCCACCCGAAGCAGGCGGGACTGCCCAGCCCATATGCTCTGGTATTTTGGCGTGAAGGACTGGCGGTAGTGGCGCGAGGCGGGCTCCACCTGGAACACCTGGAAAGCGGTGTCCAAGCACTGGAGGTAATTCTTCACGACCATGTACCCCGTCTCGCTCTTCGTGTCGACTTTCCGCTCCGTTGTGACCACGAAGCGTTTTCGCCACGAGACCAGCGTGCGCGTGATCTTCAGCTCCTCCGGCGTCCACGTGCTCGGAGCCATCGTGCGGGGCAGATCGCGGTCTGGGCGGTGCGGCTGCTGGGCGGGCCAGCTGTGGTCGAAAGGCAGAGGGGCCCGAGAAACCAAGGAGCTCTCCAATCTTGAGCCAACACTTGCTGCGTTTCTTGTTGAGGTTGTAAAGTGTAGTCGTGGTTATATATGTTTGTGGTTATGTATGCGTTTGTGTGTGTTGTGTGTTATGCTTGTGTTTGTGTGTGTGCTTGTGTTCGTGTTCGTGCTGTGTTTGGGTTTGTATGTGTGTTTATAGGTGTGGTGGTAATTATGTTTGTGTGATTGTTATTTGTGTTTGTGCTGGTGTTTGTGTTTGTATGCATGTGTCTGGGTCGTTTGTTGTTTAAGTTTGTGTTTTTCGTTATGGCTGTGTTTGTGGTTGTGGTTGTGTGTGCGCTTGTCCTGGTGCTTGTGCATGTGTTTGCGTTTTTTGTGTGTGGTTGTGTTTGGCTTTGTGTGTGTGTGTTTGAACGTTTCTCGGTGTGTGTGTGTGTGTTCGTGTTTGTGGTTGCGGCTGTGCTCGGGTCTGTGGTTGTGGTAGTGGTTATGCTCGTACTTGTGTGTGTAGTTATGCAAGTTATTGTGCTTGTGCGTGTGCTAGAGTGTTCCTGATTGTGTGTGTGTCCTTGTGTGATCGTGTGTGTGTGTGTGTTCGAAATTGTGTGTGTGCTTTCTTTGTGTTTGTGCGTGTGTGTGTGTGTGTGCGCGTGCTTGTGTGCGTGTGTGCGCGGGTGTCTTGTGTACGTTGTGTTTGTCGTTGCGTGTGTGCGTGCGTGCGTGTGTGTGTGTGTGTGTGCGTGTGTTTGGGGGGGGGTTGTTATGTGCGTGCGTGCGCGTGCGCGTGTGTGTGTGTGTGTGTGCGTATGCGTGTGTGTGTGTGTGTGCGTGTGCGTGTGCCTGCGTGTGCGTGTGCGTGTGTAGTGTGTGTGTGTGTTGCGTCTGTGTTTTGTAGTGCATTGTGTGAATTATGTGCTGTGTTGTGTGTGTTGTGTGTTGTGTGTGCGTGCCGGTGTGTATGTGTGTGTGTTGGTGCGCGTGTGTTCGCAAGAATGTGTGTGTTGTGTGTGCGTGTGTGTGTGTGTGCGTCGTGCGTGTGCGCGTGCGCGTGCGTGTGCGTGTGCGTGTGCGTGTGGGTTGTGCGATGTGTGTTGTGCGTTGTGCGGTGTGCGTGCGCGTGCGCGTGCGCGTGCGCGTGCGTGTGCGCGTACGCGTGTGCGTGTGCGTCGGCGTGCGCGTTGTGCGTTGTGCGTTGTGCGTTGTGCGTTTTGCGTGTGCGAGCGCGCGTGCGCGTGCGCGTGCGCGTGCGCATGCGCGTGCGCGTGTGCGGGTGCGTGTGCGCGTCCGCGTGCGTGTGCGTGTGCGTGTGCGGGTGCGTGTGCGCGTCCGTGTGCGTGTGCGTGTGCGTGTGCGTGCGCGTGCGCGTGCGCGTGCGCGTGTCGTGCGCGTGCGTGCGCGTGTGCGTGCGTGTGCGTGCGTGCGTGCGTGCGTGCGTGTGCGTGTGCGTGTGCGTGTGCGTGTGCGTGTGCGTGTGCGTGTGCGTGTGCGTGTGCGTGTGCGTGTGCGTGCGCGTGCGCGTGCGCGTGGGCGTGCGCGTGCGCGTGCGCGTGCGCGTGCGCGTGCGCGTGCACGTGCCCGAGTGCGTGCGCGTGTGTGTGTGCGGGTGAGTATGTGGGTGCGTGTGAGCGTGTGTGTGTGTGCGTGTGTGTACGTGTGTGTGTGTGTGTGCGTATGTGTGTTCGTGTGTGTGTGCGTGTGTGTGTGTGTGCGGGTGTGTGCGTGTGCGTGCGTGTGTGCGTGTGTGTGTGTGCGTCTGTGTGTGCGTGTGTGTGCGTGTGTGTGTGCGTGCGTGTGTGCGCGTGTTTGCGTGTGCGTGTGCGTGTGCGCGCGCGCGTGTTTTTTTTTTTTTTTTTTTTTTTTTTTTTTTTTTTTTTTTTTTTTTTTTTTTTTTTTTTTTTTTTTTTTTTTTTTTTTTTTTTTTTATATATATATAGCGCAGGTGTGCGCAGCCAAGCTGCACACACGACAGCCACCAGGACCGCCCCAACCGAGCCCCTCGGCCCCATCAACCACGCAAGGCTACGGCAGGGCCCCACAGCCCACGCCAAGCAAAGGCACGGCGGAGCTCACCCTTCGGGCGAGCATGCGCGAAGCGCTAGCACAGTCCAAGTTAGACCACGCGAAGCGTGTGCAGCACGAGAAGACCGGCATCACTCGATTTAGGAGGACCATCGCCGACGCGCAACACACTGACGAGCACGCGAAGCGTGAAAGATATGTCGGCGCGGGCCCTGCATGACAGCAGCACAGGAGGCCGCCGCGCCATGGCCCACACGCGAAAAGAGGACGCACACGCCAGTCACGCGAAGCGTGCATATCCGCAAACAAGGGCAGCCAAAGGGGCTTCTGCCGCGGGCTCATTGCAGCGAGCCTTCAGAGTCCCACCAGGGCACCAAACAAACCGCAAGCACCAAAAGCACGCTGCGTCATCACCCACTCAGGCAGACGCTGCCTCGACTTGGGGTTCAGCCCCTGAAGAATCAAATCGCGCCGCTGCCGTCGAGCGCGTCCTGCGTTGTCGCCTTTCATGGGGCGTCCTGCGCACTCCTCCCCAAGCTGGCGCAGCAGTCCGTCGCGTTCACGAACAAAATAACAGCACTTCATGCATACACGAAACCCACAGACGACATGTATACCATGGCCGAGTGCATCAACGGGCAGCGAGGTCATCCCTGCCGCTGCACCCGAACCCGCACACGACGAGGGCGGCCCAGACTGGTGCTGATCTCCATCCCCGTCGTCATGGCCTTCTGCGCTGCTCTGAGACGCTGCCATGGCGGCAGCAGCTGCTGCTGTCGCAAGCCCTGCAGCCGCTGCAGGGCGCTTGGCCCCTGAGCAGGGAATCCTGTCGACATGTTGCTGGGGACCTGGCCTCGGGATGCAGGTTAGGTGAGCTTGCGCTGAGACTCCTTCGTTCTCGCATACCACCCACACGTAGTGCACCGCCAGCAGCCACCTTTCTCCACGAACTCGTGCGCGGTGAGGATCAGCTGGATCTTCGGCGGCTGCTTGGTGACCACCTCCGCGTCGATGTCATCACGGGCTGCAGTGGCAGGAGCACCAGCATAGGCGACCCACGCAACCACCCCGTCCACCATGAGGTCGGTGCGCCAGATCATGTCCCTGTCGTCTGTCCCCAAGGCGAATGGACGTGTGACCTGCTTGGCCCAGTCGTCTGCCTCGAGGTTGCCACGGCGCTCCCAGCGTGTCAGCCTGCCCGCTTCAACGTCTCCGAGGGTCCCATGGCCTCTGGCTTTAACCACCGCCAGACCCTCCGGGCACAGCCCTCCGAAGTCGTCGATGGCGTCCCAGACCAGCCTCCAGAGGAACGCCCAGCTGTGAGACGACCCGCATGCGCCGTCTCGCCCACGCGACATCAGCCCGTCGACAACGTTCATCGGCACCAAGCGAAGGCAAGTCTCTCCCTTGGGGTGCCGTCGGCCGCCCACGCAGAATCCACCTCCGAATATGTGCAATGTTGAACCCGTTGCGTAGGTGCGGCACCTCGTCCGCGACCTTCTGGAACTGCCACCGCAGCACTGCCTTCCTCACAAGCTGCTTGGTATACCAGCGCGAGAAATCCATTGGCTTATAGACTGCCCCGTTCGCCGAGTTGATCCACGTCGCGATGCTGGTCACGGCCCACCCGACGCGCAGGAGGTACAGGAAGGCGGCGCTGATGGGACCGCGAACTGGATCCCAGGTCGCGACGTGCTCCGAGGCCCAGCGCATCACTGAGGTCAGGATGGACAGCGGTACACACGACTCCCAGACAGCACGGTGCATCATACAAACGGGATCGATTGTGGCTTGAAAAATGGGGTCGAGCCCACGCACAATTGGCAACATGAGGCTGAGCGTGCGACTCTTCCCGTCAACTCGAGCCTCAGTGGCCCGAAAGGCCAAGGGGTGAGCAGTCTGGAGATCGCTGTCGCTGAGCCCCGCGCAGTTCAAACTGTACGCGTAACCTGCCTCGAGGCCCTGCTTGGCGATGCGGGCAGCGACTCCTCGTCGCCCTCCAGAGCCCAGCACCCGTCGTACACGCGGCACTCGTCGCCGAGCTGCTCGGAGCCTTGCTCTACGAACCGCTCGTCCCAACTCGCGGCCTTGAAGGAAGTCTGTGCCGAGGTTCCTGGCATGCTTCACTGCCTGAGCGCCAGTGACCTTGTGCACCTTGGCCTTCAGCTCCTTCTCCAGCGCTGGAGCCGATGCCAACGCCTGAGACTTCTTGGCCGAGATGCTGATACTGTCCTTGGCCAGGCTGTTGACGAGCACCTACGCGGCGAGGATGATATCCCTGCCGACTGGCTTCTCGCCTCCGTGCCCCTGCAAAACCAGATCGTCCACCACGATGGCTGGCGTAACCGTGGGGCACAGAGACTGCATGCGATCGACTGACTCCATGAGCTGCAGCTTCATAGAAGTCGCGGCAAACGGGTCTCCTGCCAGGACCGTCTGGTGCACCCAAGTCAGATCTGAGACTGCACCATCGAGAACCAATACCCGCGCTTTGGAGTAAATGCCAATTTGTAGCTTGAGCAGCCAGAGCGGGAAAGAACTTCTGAGCCAGACGAAGCAGATTGTCGTGACGGATCTGTTCAAAGGCCTTCCACAGGTCCAACAACAGTGTGGCCGTGGCCCAGTCTGAACTGGGATCCTCACCGCTCTTCATGGCAGCCAATTCACTCAATACAAGTTGTTGCCAGACTGCTCTGTCGCAACTCTTGCCTACTGACGCCCACCAATATGCACGATCATGCTGCGCCTCCCAAGCAGTGGCAAGGGGCCTCCGCAGGCGTCCGTGCGCTCGCACAAGGGCGGCGAGCAGGGCAATCGGCCGAACTCCACCTTCACGCTTTGGTATGAACGCGAGCTTATTCACAAACTCTGGCCAGGTCGTGCGCTCCTCAATCAGTACGAACAGACCTGCCAACGCGTCAACTCCACCGTCGTCCCGCACGCCGAAGTCACTTGGGCTGGTTGTCGAAGCTCTTCCCACCTCCGGCTCTGAACGCGGCGAATACCCGACGCGCCTGCTCGACTGTCGGC